GTAGAAGAAAACTATCACCTGTATGGAAGCCATATGCAATTCTCCCACATGTGGTTCCTCATGAGTAGCCAGTTTCTTTTGCACTTTTCTTAATGGGAGCATTTTGCACTTTTCTTAATTTCTCTTCTCATCTTGAGTTTAAAAGAGATACACATTTTGGTGAGCGTACATAATTCACTGTGGAGATCACTAATGTTCCCTGAGAATCCTTTATTGGTCAGTGGAAGAGTTGTCCAAGATCTTGCGTACATAAAGCAGTCTGTAAAAACATCAGAAACTCATTTAATAGAACATAGTTCTAGAAAACGAAGGTATAACAGTTTTCCTGTAAAATACATCATTAGTATGAACAAGAATAACTGTTTGCATATAATCACACTTTCTGTGTATAAGTACTATGTGTTAATTAAAATAATTAATTTGAATATCATTTTCATACTAACAAGTTATACTTCCAAAAGGAAAATAATGTTGATAAAGATTCAATTAATAGTTGTTCAATTTAATTTAAACTGGAGAAATTTTAAATAGTAATTGCATTCTCATTATTGCTAAAATTTTAATTTGTTTAACTAGTTAATTGAATTTAATTTAATAACCAAAAACTAATCTGCTTCTAATATTTTTCTGAATTTCTTGTTTTACCTGCATTTGAGCAGGTGCTTGTAACAACTTGATACGAAAATGTACAGTAGAAGAGCTGAAGCTTTTCTTCATATCCTGTCAAAGAGATTTGACATCATCCCATGTACAGGCAACCTGAAGAAACAATAAATAAATAAATAAATAAGTAAATTTTATTTGATAAAAAAATATTTTAATGCTACAGAGATGAGTATTTTTTCTGAATAAAAAATACACATACCTTCATTAGTCATTGAAAATCATTATATATACAATTAGGATATGTTTCATCCATTTCAATCACAGGCAAGAAGTCTTCATTAGTTACTAACACTTTATCTTCATGGCACAATAAACAGTCCAGAAATACACCCCTGAAGGAAATATATTTCAAAATTGACTTAAAATACAAGTTTTCTTGATATAATGAAATTACATTAATAATATTTATTTATTTTGTAAATATGAAGTGATTCATGTATATGATTTCTATTGCCAAAAATTCTTCAGCATTTGAAGAGTTATTATTCAGTACTGACATGATCAATTGTCTAATTAGGCTGAAGCCTAGTGCCCTGAATTTTGAGAGAACGAAAGTGAAATTTGAAAAGTGGAATTTATAATTTAAAAATTTGGAAAAAAGTATTTGTTTTATTTCAAAGTTTTTAGTAATTAAAGTAACGTAAATATTGTAAATACCACATATTGAAAAAATAAATACAGAAAATGAAATCGATCAATTTCAAGTGAGTGCTGTGTCACTTTCCCCTTCATGGCTTTGTTTCCCCAATGTACTCTATTATAAAATTTTGATCATGAATTAGTAATTATCTAAAATATAAATTTGTCAATCCAGTTACAGATTCGTTTTGGATATAAGTATAAAAATTAGGTTAATTTATTTATTTAGAATTTTTTTATTATTATATTAGAGAATAAAAATAAAAAAATAATAAAATTGTAAATAAAAAATAGTTTTAAAATGGGGTCCCATTGTCACCTGGACTTAAAACTTAAGTAATTTTTAAAATGGTTCTGTTAATATTACTGAAATTCCAAGGTGTTTGGGCACCAGTAGTCAATTCAATGTTTAAGTTCGACATAACATAAATCAAATGATAATAGAAATAGATTTAGCTGTAATGACAGAGAAATACACTTAAAATGATGAAATTATAAAGAGATATGTGAAAAATCAAATTTTTGTAATAACATGAAAATCAACTCTTATTGTTGTAATAATTCGTGTAAAATGGAAATCTGCTTACTTAGATGAATGGGTTCATTCTGAATAAAGTGAACACGCAGTCATGGTTGCAAGGGTGAGAGTCTACTGTGCCAATTTGATTTGATTCTAGAATGTAGATCAGTTTTTTATTTTTTATTTTTTATTTTTTTATTTTTGTAATATAACAGATTCAATCATCATACTACTAAGGAAAAAGATTTTTATTTATTGTAACAAATTATGAATCTTAACTTTTTAATTTATTTATATGTTTTAAAATAAAATTTGTTAATATTTTAAAGTTTTAGTTTAGTGTAAGTCTGAAGAAAATAAATTATTTAAGAAAATACTGAATAAAGAAAAAAAAAATATCAGCATTATGTAACACTAAACTTATATGTCCTATCCCTATGTAACACACCGTAGCATTTGCTGAAATACCATACGTTCCTCTTCATCATTACATATTTTATGAACAACCCCTGAGAAGACTAGGAAAGCCAGAAGTAAAAGTGAATATTAATGCTACCATCAAAAGAGTACATATGTATAAACATACCTTCTGAAATTTTTCTGAAATTTTGATGCCACAGTAAAGAGTTGTTTAATAGTAGTTTTCTTTCTTTGATTTCGTCTTTGAATTCCAGGAGTTTCTCCAGCTTGAACAGTAGCTTTTATTTATGCTGCTTGTTCTGGTCTTGAGCTTCTTATTTCAGAAAACAGGTCATCAAGAAGTTGCAGACTTCCTGCAAATCTTGGCTCACGACCCTCAACATCCCGCCAACCTAAAATTATCATTTTCAATTTTAATATTGTAAAGGAAAAAATATGTTTTGAGAAAATCATAAATTCTAGATCATACAATGATTTAATACTTAAGCTAAATTGAGAAGAATTTCAGGATAATGTATAACAGAAAATACATAAGAACATCAATATCGTATTACTATTATGCATTTAACTTTCATGTAAATTCTCAATACTCTCTGAAAGCAACATTTTTCGTTACTTACTAGAAGGAATAACTGATGTAGGTGTAGACTGTCTAAACTTTCCATAACCTTTCAAGTTGCCACAAGCTACTCGGAAATAATACCTTTGTCCATGAATCGGATCACCTATGTGACATTCCATGTGTTTCATATCTAAAATTTCTCTCTCTCCAGCTAAAGGACTGAAGGCTTCTGAGCAGCTCCATTGAACTACAGAAAGATTTTTTTAAAAATTACTTCACATGTTAACACAACATATTTGCCCTAAACAAATGGGTCATGAATAATCATCATTGTAATGCTAGCTTTGAATTTGGTTCATATAGCCGAGTCTTGTTGTTCTGGCTCTTGGAATCTTACATTTACAGAATTTGTTCCAGTTACATCAACAGCAACCAAGAGGGGTACATCTGGAGGTCCTATTTAGTAAAGAATGTTATTGTTAAGACAGTGTATTTCTACAAAACTGGAACTAATACAGCACACCAGAAAAGTCTCTTTGCAGTGGTCCTTGGTGCTTGCAACAAAAATTATGTTAGTAGCAGCGTGTAACAAAAGAAAACTTAAATACTACACTCACCACAATCATAATATAAGCTGCAAGTGTTATTCCCTTCACTTGTTTCCCAGTGATCCGTTAGCTAACAATATCTTCTATCTGTCATTCTTAATAGGAGGTCCTGACTTGGCCCAGTGCAGAGAGACTTTCCTTGTGCACTATATTTTCATTTAATACAATGCAGGATCACATACTTGCTTGATCAAAACCTAATAACATTTTCTTTAATCCTTTAGCTCGTCTCTCCCAGAGCAGTAGCTGCTTGTCAACGGCTGCTTCCGCTCCACCTCCGCAGCCAGTCATTGTTGCAGAAGCACCATGACAGCTGATAATACTAAATGATGCTCTAGTATTGTTGTTGTTATTATTATTATTATTATTATTATTATTATTATTATATTAATATTATTATATTATTATTATTATTATTCTTACAAGATGTATCTTCAATAGATAGAAGGCCACCACCTAATTCTTGCACTTTTCTTTCAGCTTCCATAAGAAGCTGCTTTAGGTGACAACCAAGGGATTCAGGAGTTTTAACTGAAATGATAAAGACAATTCCAATTAAGTTCACAACATAAATTTAATAGAGAGCCCTGTCATCATAAATATTCTACTATAAAATCTTTCTTATTAGTCTTTGGGAACAATGACATGAGAATATGTATAAAACATTTCATAAGAAAATTGCATAAATAAGGGAATATTGTCAAAAGATGTCAGACTCAAATATTATCAAAAGAAAAGAATCTTTTATGACTTAATCAAAAGAGCATAGTACATACAATCATGAGTGTAATTTTAAGCGTTTTGGCTCGAATAGTTTAGGAGATAGAGCCTTTTGAAATTGGCTATTATTTTTAAAACGTTGAGAATTCAAAAAAAAGGGTTTATATTCAAGATTCTTAGAGGGCACATTTCTCATCAGTTGATAACAAACGATTACATTTTTATAAAATACATGAATTTTGAAACACGTGAGTGTTTCCAGAATTGATTGTTGTTGCATAGTGAAATATGAGAGTATCTTTTTTGAGTTAAAAACTGAAGATTCTAAATCGCAGTTACAAATATTGGATTTTCAAGCCAGTATTATTAAATGAGAAGCATCATTTAAGACATAAATTAAAGAGCAGAGTACATACTATCAGTTGTGTAAATTTCAGCGTTATAGTTCGAATTGTTTAGGAGATAGAGCCTTGTGAATTTGATTATTATATTTAGAGCATTGAGATTTCGAAATACAAGGGTTTCAATTCAAGGTTCTTTGAGGGCACATTTCTCATCCGTTGATGACAAGTGATAACATTTTCATAAAATATATGATTTTTAAAACACATGAGGTTGTGGAATTGATTTTTCTGTTGCGTAGTATGTAAAATATGCAAGTTTCTTTTTTGAGTTAAAAACTGAATGTCCAAAATCGCAGTTACAAATATTGCATCATCAAGCTAGTTATTATCAAAAGAGAAGCATCATTTAAAACTCACATTAAGCATGTTAAGATAACAAATTGTTTTTATTTTACATTGAAAAGAAAATTTCAAATACAATGTTCAACTACTTTTTACGATATTTAATAAATACATGGTATTTTGTAAAACATTTTATGCGCATACACAATAAGTCAGGTAACTGAGCATGCATTTTTTTGAACTGTTTAATTTACTGTAAATGCAGTTTCTACGGATGTTCACGACTCAATGAGGCTAATTCGTACATTGAATATTTTTATTTTATCATTTTTATATCAGGGTCTATTGAGGTTTACTTCGTTTTTTCAAAGCGATCGATCCTTTTTTCAGTCTATCGTGACGAGTGTAAACACACGAATTCAAATACATTGTGATGTTAGATAATCATTTTTTTTCTTTTCATCATTTTCCATTAATGTAATGGACCTCATAATATAGGATTAACTAACACTGTTACAAATATTAAAATAAATATTTCAATAAAAACATTCAACAGTTCGCCTTACGAAATTTTGTTTATGCTGAAATTCGTCTACCCCCGAAAGGTGCGCTCCGCAAGCTGCAGCATACTCAGCCTCTTCAGTATTTGGTACTGGGAAACAAGTTCGTAAAGTTACCATACCCATTTATTGCAAAAATTAAAAAGAGAATATCATTATTTTCTTCTAATTAACAACTCATTTATAAACAACTTTAAACATTTTGGTGCGATTAACAACATCAAAATACACAACGCTAAAGAGTGTACGCTAACTTGTCTTCTGTGGGTATGTTCATTTTCTCATTTCGCATTGCTTCAGAAATGAGAAGCATTTGTTACAGTTCGCTGGGGATCTCTACAGCATTGCGGGATAGTTACATATTTGAATTCAGAATCTATGCAATTCACAGACATTGGACTGCCTCAGAAGCACTACTAGGAATTGCAAAAACTCTAACACAAAAGTAGCGCAAAGGATTTAGGACATACTATTGCACAAGCACATTGTGAAGCACTCACAAAATCTTCTCCGGAAGATGCGCGGTCAAACAGGATCAGCGATGAGGTGTGGATGAGAACGCCCTTCACTTGTCCTTTACACACTGGTAACTTTCTGACGAAGGTTTTTAGATCTTCCTCCAATTCCATTAGACACCATGATTTACCGCGCCAGGATGAGTCGACACCTGAACCAGTCACTTTCCTCACTTTCTCAAGTTGTTCGTGGTGACGTAACTCAAATAGGATGATTCCAGTGCGCTCATGAGCAACATTCATTCGTTTTGTAATACGCATTGTCGATTTTATAGCCCTTGCGGATTTCATCGTATTGTCTTCTTCGATGCACGACACCACGAATCTTCACCTTGCTACAACTTTACAAATAAAAGAGGACAACTTCATTAAAACAACTACTCGCACTGGAGTTTAGTGCAAGACCTAGTGCGAGCCGATTGATTGGAAGCGAGATTGCTCTCTACCACCAACCTATAAGAGGTCGAGGGTCAAGTCTGTTAGGGCACGGCCAATATTACGAAACAGACGAAACATTATTCATAAGGGCTATAGTTGAAGTGTAGAACCAGGAAAGCCAATGGGAAACAAACATACCCGTCAATCGCCAGAACTCATTCCCTCCAACACCACCTTCAGTGAATATATACAGCTGCCACATATATAAATTCATATTCTTTGAATAGAAACAAATGGCTTTACTACAATTAAAAACACGTAACTACGCTTCATTTCAAAAGACTAGTCTAATTGGAAAGGAAGTCTTATAGGATTTGTCTAATGTTCTAATCCTATCAAAAATAAAGTGAATAATTTAGAAAAATTTGATCTCTTTGATACAAAACCAGTGTTGCTACAGAATGGCACAGACTTCCTCAATCAGTGTTAGTTTTCTAACTGGACGAGCTTTACAATCATGACCTTTCCTCCTGCCAGCTACCGACTATCGTTACCCAAAGCACATTTTTTTCAAAATCCTCAATTCTTGTTTTCTAATGGTATAACCGAAATATTACTTTGAGAATATTAAAGAAGAGTAAAACCTCGTCATAAAGAACTTTGTTGTAAACTTTAGAGGCGTTTTCAAGAAAATGGTTTTTAGTTCTTACTGTAAACACAAAATTTGAACCTCTTTCATAGCAATCTAAGTTCTCAAAAAAATCATTGGTCGTTATTTAGAGCCCTCATTCACAAATGCAATAACGTACACAAATTTCTAAAAATTTATATATAAACGGCACGAGACATTAAAAAAAATTCACTGATGTAATTAAAATAAAGAAAATGGCTTTTGGCATTTTTTCCAAAGCATTTAGCATTATTCGTACAAAAAGTTAGAAAATAATATTTAGAGCAGTTTTTGAGAAAAATACACACTTGAGCGTTTTTGAAAATGCAAAAATTTGAGTTCATTTTCACAAAAAATGTTGACTTCACGAAAATTTCTATGACAATGAAATCACATGTACCTATTAATACAATAATATCAAAAAATAGCATCTACTGTAAGTATTAATCACGTGAAAAATTGTTTCATGTCATTTTTGAAAAATAAACCAAAAATGGCGTTTCTGCCATCTTTTAGATTACCTTTACCATTATCGACCCCCCCCTTATGTGCCAAATTTCGAATAATATTAAATTCAACACTGCTATCTGCAATTCTGTATAATAGTAGAACACGTTAAAAGAAATTGATTGGTGCAAAGCAAACTCCAATCAGACGAATAGTATCCAAGATAGACGAGAAACGAAATGAACCTCAATATTTCAAGTTACAAAACGACCCCCCCTTACGTGCTCAATTTCGAAAATTATTAATTTCAGCACTGATATCTCTATTTCTGTATACAAGTAAATCACATTCAAAGAAATTGATTGGTGCAAAGCCAACTCCAATCAGACGAATAGTTTCCGAGATAGACGAGAAAAAAAATGAACCTCAATTGTTCAAGTTACAAACCGACCGTCCTTACGTGCGAAATTTCGAAAAATATTAATTTCAAAACTGCTACCGCTAATTCTGTATACAAATAAAACACATTAAAATATATTGATTGGTGCAAAGAAACTCCAATCAGACGAATAGCTTCCGAGTTAGACGAGAAACAAAATGAACCTCAATATTTCAAGTTAAAAAACGACTTTCCCTTACGTGCCAAATTTCGAAAAATATAAATATCAGCACTGCTATCTCTAATTCTGTATACAAGTAAAACACATTAAAAAAAATGATTGGTGCAAAGCAAACTCCAATCAGACGAATAGTTTCCGAGATAGACAAAAACAAAAGCAACCTCATCTGTGCAAAGTACAAAACGACCCGCCCCCTTACGTGCCAAATTTCGAAAAATATTAATTTCAGCTCTGCTATCTCTAATTGTGTATACAAGTAAAACAAATAAAAAATTAATTGGTGCAAAGCAAACTCCAATCAGACGAATAGTTTCCGAGATAGACGAAAAACAAAAGTAACCACATATGTGCAAAGTAGAAAACGAACCCCCTTACGTGCCAAAATCCGAAAAATATTAATTTCAGCACTGCTATCGCTAATTGTGTATACAAGTAAAACACATTAAGAGAAATTGATTAATGCAAAGCAAACTCCAATCAGAAGATTAGTTTCCGAGATAGACGAAAAACAAAAGCAACCTC